TGCTGAACCAACCCATCATTTCAAAAATACCATTTCCAGAAGATCTGGATAACTTACTATTTTATCCTAAGTTACAAATAGAATACATAATTATCTCCTGTTTTCCTTGCATTTTGTAAATTACTTTATACCAAGTGCTCTTAGTTATATATTTGAAAGGAAATACATCCAATGCCTTCTGATTAACATAGTGATTTCTAGCTGATTCGCACAAACACCAAAATGAAGATAGATACTATCTACCTACATGCACTGAACACTGCTCACCATGGTGGAATGGCCCAAGGCAACTAGTAAGATGCTGAGTATAAATGCTTAAGTGTGTGCATGCACAAACATATACTGGCATAATGTTATACTAAAATACTGATTATTATCTGCTTAAAAAAAAATAAATCTTTTCTTTTTGCCTTCCTTCTCCTCTAAATATTGTTTAATTCTAGGGGACACAAGGGAAACCAGAGGTTAAAAACGGCAACTTCGAAAAAGCATGCAAGAACTTCCATGGTAAAATGCAGAAGTTGTTCAGTGTTTTGCTCTGCTTGTTTTAAGAGGAACTACATTCTTAAAAACACTACTATGCCTTCCTGTACAATTTAAACAAATATCCTTAAATAATTCAGAGGTTGGTTGGTCTGGTTTTTCTGTGGAGTGTTTGGTTTGGGTTGGGGTTTTTTTGTTATTTTAAAGATGAGTGAAGAAAGCCAACTGAACATTGTGTTACCCAAGTCATACAGTGCAGAAGGTAAAACCTGAAGCACGTTAGGAGTTGTAGCACATCTTACCTTACGTCCCACATACACAGGAATTCCAATAATCATAGCAGGAATAGCAATGCCAGCTATTAAGGCAATTCCTACAGGAGCTCCAACAAGTGTCCCTAGTTGCCACAGTATTTTCTTCTTACGGCTCCACGGTTTCTTTCCCCAAAATGTGCAACCTGACGGGCTAATAGAAAGAAGAAAACTGTAAATAAATTGTGAATAAAGTACACAGTACTGAACTGTTCTCTAGCTACAAGATTATCATTCTTGGGTTGAAGTTACAGATATCACAGATGCCAAATCATCGGTTATAATTTCTTAGGATTTTTTTTTTCATGGAAACAGAAGTGTTTGGTTGGAAAAGACCTTTAAGATCATCGAGTCCAACCACAACCTGTCCACTACTAAACCATGTCTCTTTTTGCCTTTACGATATATTTTGCAATGTGTAGAGAAGTATATTGCACATTACCACATGCCAATCTGTAGTTCATGGGTAATTTATATAATCAAAGTTTCTGTATTGCTTACTATGAAGACAATACAGTAGTATTAAGACATCAGTGAAAATAGGGGGCATATTCATCTAAGACACTTCATTTGTTGTTTTCTTGCATGCATGAAACTTAGGAAAGTATTTTAAAATAAAAAAATAACAAAGCAGTAACTTAAATACATCCATTGAAAACCAACTTAATTCCCAGATACGGATATTTCAACTGTACTTCTCTACTCCAATGGAAAGCAAGCCAGACTTATTTACAGCACCCAGGAATCTACTTCTTTATACTTTAGAAAACAAATTACCAAACACATAGATCTTTTTCTTAAATGTACCTTAAATAATGTAAATCTGAGATCTCTTTCATACACAGCCAACAGAATTCGCAGCCACAGACAGCACAAGTCATATGATTGCAGCTTCCATCATTCATTTTTATTATATAAGCAGCACAGCGTGGGCATGGCTTTATGTCATCAGCTGTTTAAAAACAAACATTAAGATCATATTAATTCTTTAGACAAGGAGATTTAATCAAAATACAGACATATGTTTGGGGAAACTGATTGAACCATTATCTGAAAAATGGAAGAAGTTTGCTTTACAAATTTTGATTTGGCAACAACTTGATAGCTATTTGTATTTGTAAACTTTGGACCAAGTAAAACTAATGAAAACATTTAATGCATATGGTCTGTTCAAAGATTTTCAAATCTTAATACAATATATGAGAGTTGTCTATTAAATATGTATGTTAATATAGGACTGATAATATGGTCTATTTAAATATAATCCTCTTTCACATTTCATGCTGTTATGAATCTTTTACTTGAATATTCAGTCTCTACTCTTATTTCTTCTTATCTTAAATCTATCTCCCCTTCCACATTAATTGCATTTATTTTGTATCATGAACCTACTCTTAAGTCCTTTTCACAGCCCTACTTACTCTCTAGAAAAAATAACATTGTAGCAAAAAAAAAATACTGGAGGCTCTCCTTGTTCCCAAGTCAAATACTGAACAATGTGGTTAAGTGACAATCTCTATCATTAACAAACAAGGGGCTGTTGAGCAACAGCGAGATACTTGTATGCTGACACAACCACAGTTGTGATCTTCGTTCCTCCACATCACTGGATAGCACCTGTCCCATCTGGGACAAGCCATCCTCACAGCAGCAGAAATCACTTGCGGCTCCTCATGCAGAAGTCCAAGTTTACTGCCTCTGTGCTACTAGGTAGGGCCATAGGAAAAGACAGGTTATACTTGGTATAAAGAATATTCAGCAGAAACAGCAAGCACCTCTGCCAACTCCAGTGCAAGAGGACAGCAAGCAGCTGAAAGGATGCACTCGCTATTCACAAACGGGAACAGATGCACAACCTACAGGGCAGAAACTAAACTGAGCAAGTTCTTACAGGGCAGATACACCAGAGCTACTGCTGTTCATGCTGGGAGTGACTGAAAGGGTAAAGAACGGAGCTGGCATGCCAATTTATTTAAAGTTTATTTTAAGTTTGAAAATTAGAGCAAGATGCCAATTTTTAAGACAGGATGAAGTGCCTTGTGAAAATGAGCCAGCACAAACAAAAAAATCAAAGACTCCCAAGTCTAGGGCTGGATTGGAGAATGACAGCTATAACTACACTCAAGGTCTAAGATGGACTTTCCCCCAGATATCCACCTTGTTTGGTCAGGCAGACACAAAAACTGCCAAATACATCAGAGTGTGAAAATGAGGTAATTCTTATCAATAACAAACTGGACTCATGTTCTGTAAAATACTACTTTGAATAGTTTATCTTCTTTTTGGGGGGGTTACAAACAGTTCAATTCCAAGAAGATGGAATTGTTTGCCTTCTGGTTGCCAATACTGAGGAGCATTTTATTGAAAAACAGAAAATAGTACTAACGAGCAGATGCCAAACATCAGAGCTGGCATCAGAGTAGTAGTCTCTTCTGAAAGCAGAAAAATCAGTGGTTTTGAGTTCTATTTTTAAGAGCTTTTATTATAAACAGCCCTGTGAAATTTCACCTATAGTGGGGCAAATGTGTCTTCCCAGCATGTAAGTGATACAACTGAAAGTCAGCCTGCCAAACAGAGAATGCTTTGCAGCACATTCCTTTGACTTCACATTTTTCAGCTATAAAGGAAGAATTTAAAACCCTGAGAAGTCTGTAAGATTGAAGTCAGGTACTGTGGTCACAGAGTACTTCAAATTATAGCATTTAAAATTTGAATTCAACCCTTAAAATTGTATATTTTATGTTTCTGAAAGACAGAGTAGCTAGTATCTACCATGCTGCTATTCAGTTCTTTCCTTTTTAGAGTTAATAGTGCAAGTGTACTAAAATGGTATTTTACAGACACAGCAGCCCAATCATAAATACCTGCTGCTCCAGACTCCTGGCTGTAACTAATAGATGAAGAACGAATTGTTCTCAGGCGCAGACTCTGAGCCCTCTCCTGGCGAGCAGCATCACAGGTCTGGTTTGGGTGCCAAATCTGCTTACAGTGGTAGCAAAACTCAGTTCCGCAGCCTTCTCGTCCACACGTAAGTTTGGGACAGCTGGCACATCCAAAAGCGATCACAGCATATCTTGAATGACCAACAGGGACAAGAGAGAATTTCGTTAATGAAGACAGACAAAGACAGCTGCCAGAGCAGCTGAAGCAGGTACAAAGGCAGCAGACATCAGGAGCCGACATGAGGTGGGCAGCACACATTCCTTACCACCTCCTTCCACAACTCCATCACTACTGCATCAGACTGAGACAACAGAAACACTACAATACTGCAGTGTAATGCTTTGCTCCACCACACTTTACTTCATACAGCACTGAAATATACTGCACTTAAGGCTGAATGCAACCACAGTTTAGAAGAGCAGGACAATAAAAACAAAAATGGTATTTAAGCAACTGGAGTAAGTTACAGTTTCAAAAGCGTCCCGGTCACTCTGGGCATGTATAATCTTGACTTTCTATAATCTGGGAGGACCCCTGCTAAGTGATCTGTAATGTAGTCTACTGCTGTAAAGGCATCCGGCTTGGTACTACATAACACAGTAGTGTTTTACTCGTGGCCTTTTATCATGAATACCACGATCTCCTTTAAACAGATGTTTGTTTACTCTTCGTATTTTAAAATGTCAAAACAACAAAGCAAGTCTTTTATAAATAAGGATTTTGGTTTCTCAAAACAATTTTACTTTTTTGACAATTTTAAAAAATACATTTCAAACTGTAAATAACTGGTAAGAGTACAGGGCCTCATTGTCACATTTACTCCAGCAATACTATAAAGCAAAAAGTTCCAAAAACACTGTAATCAGACACTACGTGAACAATTCTATACAATGACAGTTGTTGCCACAAATCAATTCCTCCATCAGGTTTGCATTTTAAAGTTAACATGATAAAAATACAGACAATGTGCATGGGCATGTTCATATTAATACTAAATATACATATATAGACACAAACACACAAGAGCCTTAATTACTACCCATTTTAATGTTTTTCAATGATTTTATGCAATAGCATTCTTTTAAGTAGAAAGCAGTACTAAAGTCCACTGGTACAAACAAAACAGTTTTATAATTTTATTCATGCAAACAGTATCCCTGAACAGATTTCAGCGGATTTATAAATGCAGCAAGGCTTAACATTATGACTGTTCAAATTAAGGTAATTTTAGTTTAAAATACTAGTTTATTTTTATCCTCTGCCCAATTGATAGCAGTTGCATAAAATTAACTCAAAATATTACTTGTCAGTAATGATAAAGTTACTGCCACTCACATATCTACCTGGAAATTCAGCCATTTTCACTTTAGAGTAGCTACAACTGAAGCTCCCTAAAGTTAATTGAAAGGGATAGAACTCGCATGAAGTGTTTTAAAACTGTATGTTTGAGGTTCCCTTCAAGTTCTGCAAACAAATAGGAGTTTTCAACCTCTAAGTTACAGACAATCCAGTTACAAATAAAAATGGGATATATGCTTGTCTGTTTTCAAATATTTACTTTCCCAGTAAAAATCTGTTTCAATAATTGCTAGGCTCTTCTACATTCTTGCCAAGTTAATCAGCTCTATTTTCCCACTTAGAGCAACTAAAAAGATAATTGCTTCATATGTACACAGAGACTCTAATCCAAAAGCTTCTTCAGCCTACAAGGATCCATCCAAGACTCAGTAACGTTATACCAAAGAACTTCAAGCACAGGCTACAGAATTAGTATTAATTTCAGTATTAATTTATATCCTGCCTGCCATTGCTAATAAAGAGGGAGCACATCTGGGACTGATGTATTGGCATAGCTTTAGAAAGCAACTTTTTAGACCAGAGCACACCTCACTTCAACCTTTATAAGATTACAGGTTTCATTTCAACATTTTGCACTCATTTGACAGGTGATGTGACAGCCAAAAGTTCTTGTTAGGCTGAGAGAAGGGACAAGCAACCAAACACAAAGTATAACAAGTAAAACAAAAACCAGAAGCAAAGAGCAATTAACTGAAGAATGTACAGTGAGAAGAAGAACTAAGAATTTGTACTCTTTTGCCCAATTTGCTTTTTGCTTGACAAAGGTGAGAAAATCTAGGAATCACTGCCATCTTCTAATAATGCCAGCAATACAATCTCAGAAGAAAACCGTTAAATAATTCAGACAGAAATGAAGACAGAACACATGTGGAATACTGATTCGCTAAGGCTTGTTAAAATGACATCGGAAAACTGGTATGAAGAAACTGAATCTCAAAAAATGAGTGTGGAACAAAGCCCAAGAGGTTCAGGAAACCTCTGTGCTCCTTCCTTTCCTTCAAGGAAAGACCACCTTGTTGGGAAGTTCGTAAGTTTTCCACTGGGACAGGAGTAGTAGTAGCACGCTTAATACTGCAGTTAGCTGTTTCAAGATCTGTTTGGTTCCAGTTTTGCCACTTCTAGGACCTATTTTTATCTCAAATAGAGTGAAAGACAGCTGAAAAGGGATATTTACTTCCTCGCTATTCTTTGTTGTTTCCTAAGAACAAAGGGGCCCACAATGCAGAAAAACAAGATTATAACAGACTAACCTAGCTTCCCTCCTTTTTTTTCCTTCCTCATTTTTCATTCCCCTCAGGGATCAAAGTTTTTACAATTATTTGCTCTTTATCCGGTCCTGACCTTTGACCAAGTGTGATGCCCACACCTGAAACAATATTACACAGGAGGTTTCAGAGAAACATAGAATGGTTTTGGTCTGAAAAGATCCTTAAGGTCAGAGATTCCAACCATCAAATTCATCAATGCTGAGGAAAGCTGAAGCACAGTCATGCACCATTCACTCAGTTCCTTTTTTTACCTATTTGTGCAGTAATTTTTTCCTACCAAAATGCTTTACTTGACACCTATTTCCCATTTATTACAGTACTAATTTCTAATTTTAAAGACAACTTTAGGAAATAACGCTACCCTCTGAAGCTACTGCACCTTTCCTACTTCGGGATTAATTGCAAATTAAGTAAATGCACTCCATCCAGCTCCATCACGAAATATCTGATCCATACTAAAATCGGGTCAGCTACCATCACAACCCTAGTGCATTCTGCTAGTGCTACATATCAAAAACTGTTCAGAAAAAAAACAGTCCTCAGTTTTAACTGCATATTGTACAAGTTGATTACAGTTGCCAAAGGAACTAGAAACTGCGACTACTGTTGTACCACATCGATGTTACAGCAAACATCTGCTGATCCGAAGTTTGTGCGTATTGTATGTGATAGCTCATCTTTAAACCAATGTTTGTTAGCATAGGCTGTTCTGAAAAAGTCTGAATAGTGTTTGCTTCCCTAAACGTCACGTCTGTTCGATTCCTTCCTTCCTCCTCCTTCTAAGCTCCACAAGAACATTAAATCCCTCTTATGACTTTCTACACAACTCCCACTTCTCCTGCACACCTCCGTGCGGGTGCTTTCTCCCAGCTCCCCGAGCTAACAGTGAGGTGAGAGACCAGTGCTGCAGCAGGCTCCCCACTAGGCACACACTAGACCGCACCACAGTGGCTGCCTGGAAGGCCAAATGTAAAAAGGTAGGATTCATGTGCAGGTATTTCTCGTCCTGGAGGCATTATTGATAGTCTCTTTTCTTTATTATGTTTTTTTCCTGAAACTTCTTAGATAAACTTCTGCTGAAAGCTCAACTCCCTCTGCCCAACATATCTGAAAGGTGCTAAAGGTTTCAAAAGTGATCAGGAGAAGGTTGGGGAAAAGACAAAACATTATCACACAAGTTCTTGCTTCTTTAGGATGACAACCACAACAAATGATCCTGCTAAGAAGCATCCAAGAAACCAACTTTGCTTTTAAACTAGTAATGAGAATTCAGAGAGAGGGCACTATCCGTGCATTAAAAACGGAGTCCATCTACCACTGTGAACATTTCCCTACCACATGAAACACGTTCAGAAAAAATTACGTTATCAAAGGTACAGTTGAGGTTGCTCATATAGCGCTAGCTTTTTCCACTCACACAAAAACACCGGCGTAGTTTAGCTGCCTGGCAATATACTGTGTTTTCCACAGGATTCCACCCTCAGAGTAAGGAGTATGCAGTGGGCAGTTCTGGAGCAATGATTTAAACATTTGCTGTGTACTAACTAATACTTTGCTGTGGTCCCACCACATAATTGCACAGAACTTTAACTTCACTCTGAAGATCCAGTTTTTCTTTTTGTAACAGCATTATTTAAAGCAACTTTCATTACAGTCCCTGGCCATGTAAAGATACTTAGGATTTAGTTTTTCTTACAAAGAGAAAACTGAGGCACAAAAAATAAGCAAGGTGAAAAGCCTTCATTATTAAAAAAATCTGCCTTAGGCTGCTTACTGAAGAACTAAAAAAGTATCACTGAAACATGGTTTAACAGATCTTACCTGCTTCCCCTTACTTTGAATAACAACAGTTTGCCCAGAACATGAAAACTCAAAAAAGCTTGAGCAAAGCATATTTCTGCCTATCAAATAATGCCTTCTAGTGGTTGTTTTCTTTTGCAGTATTGAAATATTAAGAGCAAGCTGTACTGTTTTTGTCCACATGACTGTAACAAGCTCATGCAACCAATCCATCTCTCAAGCCACTTTTCTCTCTCTGCTCAAACTATACTATAGCAATGCCAGCCACTTTGGACCCGAGGACCTAAGACACTATCAACTTTCTGGTCCTTGCTTTTGACATCTATTTTATTTAAAGTATGAAAGCAAAATTGTGTTCATTTAAATTTGAAAGGCTCCTAAATATTAAGCACCAGAACATTAATACTGGAATATTTACTCAACCTAACAGTCAGTCCTATTTTGCTTGTTCTCTTACAACATTCTCCCTTTTCTTCTACTTATTGCTCATCTGCAAGACTTTGAAATGGAGATGTCATCTTTTATGAGTTTTTATTGTGCACTGAATATCCAGATCGCAGTCGTGGCTATAACCTTCACACATTATAATGCAAACAATCTCTAAAAAAGCAACTTTCTGAAGAATGGCATTATGAGACACCAAGAGCAGAAAAGCACGATGAGCTGCTCAGTAGTATTCAGCCTACTCCTGTCAGAATTGAGAACGGTTTCAGAATCATTTCAGTATTAGAACAATGTTAAAACATTAAATCCCTCCGATAATAAGCAGGAACAAGTTGATTATTATCTTGTATCAAAATCCTGTTGACAGGCAACAAGTGGTGTCTCAACCAGCCACAAGATGGAAGATAATTGAAGCTGGAGAGGGCTTTTATTGAAAAAGACACACAAAACCCCCCAGTCATTTTTCAGTTGAAAAAACCAAAAATGCCCACTGTGCTTTAACAAATAGACTAAGTTACAGTCAAATCAGTTCTTTGTAGTCTAAGCTTTGCACTGTTGCCTTGGCAGTGCAACATCTAAGTTTTTTTGCCTGCTGTAGATACATAGCAACCACCTATCAGTAAGTCTCATGATATTCCTGACATTTCCTCTGTGCAGAAAAAAAATTCCTACTTGAGGAAGAGTTTTATTTTGAAAGGTGGGTTTTTGTTGTTGTTGTTTTGGTTTTCAGGGGTTTTTTTTGTTTGCTTGGTTTGTTGGGTTTTTTAAAAGAGAATTCTGCCTGCTACCTAGTTGCACAACACATAACAAAATGCTAAAGTAAAGCAATAAACTTTTCAAAAAGCATAATGCTATGAACAATATTTATGCTGTCGCTTTTTTGCAGATATTGGGGAAAGAAATACATACCCACAGTCTGGAGCTGGGCACCACCTACAGTCAGGATCTGCAACCAGCCAACGCCTAAGCATAAACTCTTCGTATTTTTCCATCAGGATGTCGTCATTCAGTATCAAACGAATATCATGAGGATTAAATCGTTCTGAGCATTCTGGACAGCTGATATTAACTCTGCTCTCAGAGATTTCTATCCGGAGATATTGCCGCAAGCAGTCCACACAAGACCTATGGTGACAAGTCATTATCTCCGGGAACCTGTCCTTGGAGTGCCGCAAAAGGCACAAGGGGCACTCCATGAAGTCTCCACTTGGTTTGCTGCTAGAGGTTGTTCCGTTATCAGAAGAGGTACATGTGGAGAAAATAGAGTTTTTGTCTGTACACATTTCTGAATGAATGCTTTCAATACTCGCAATTCCATCAACACCTCCATTTAAATCCCTAGACTTGCGTTTCGTGTCTTTTTTCCTCCGAAAAAGAGAGCCCAATGAAATTCTTCTTTTCTTTGGTGCTTTTTTAACTGACGGCAAGCTCACAGAGGAGGCGGAAGACTGGAGGTCCCGATCAGAACCCATTTGCCGATGTAAACTCATGTCTAGGTCACTCATCAGAAATGGGTTAAATTTCATATACAAGCCTAATCATTTTTAAGGATCAAAATAATGGAGTCAGAGGATACAGGCATATTATTATGTAACACAGTTTGAGAGTCTTCATGCAGAAAATTCACATGCAGCCGCTTCCAGCAAATTCTTCAGAGGAATTCCCTATATTAGGAGAAAAGACGAAAAAAGACAGATTAGAATCACACCCATCACTTTTGGTTCCAAGACATCACAGCACTCTAATTACTACGACCTTCTTCTCACCATCTGACCCAATACTTCTGTCAGCTTTTTCTATCCTTTACATCCTATCCTTCTCATCTTAACAAGCTGAAACTTCCCCACGGTCAAGGACTATCTTTGTTACACTTAAGCATCTTCACTCCCCTGCCTCCTAAGTGGGGTGGTGCGTTTGTGCACACACATGTGTAGAAGTTACCATAACCCAAGATGACAACTAAGTAAATGTATAACAAGTTCTTCTATAAAGCATAGTAACAGGCTTACAACTTTGGAAACTTTCCTGTCTTCCCTACCTTACATTGTCCACACATGCAATAAGGTCATGTACAAACCAAATATATTTAATTAAAAGAAACAAAACACTTTTGTGTTTTGAATCCATTTAGACTGCCAGTAGAAATTAAGTCACTGTGGCTAAAGAAGTCAAGATATTCTCAAAACCTAAGGTTTCTCAGAGAAGTACGCAGATGCATATTTATAATGTAAGGCACCTGAATATTTCAGGGAGCAGAGCTGCAGAGTGAGTGACAGCCAACACTGTCTTGCCCCTCAACTTTCACATTGCAATTCAAGCAAAGACTAGAGTTAAGGTGATGACATTGGAATTTTTAATCATACTGATTTTTATTTTAAAAAGCCCCAGAAAACCAGATTCCCATCACACATCAAGCTTCAATTATTTCCTATGTACAAGATGACAGAAAGGATTTCCTTTCCTGTTGCTTAACTGACTGCTCACAAGAAAAGAAAGGAAAGGTGTTTTCTTATTTTCCTCTGGCAGACAAGACTGTTACAAGATGTGGCAGAAACATCCAACCAAAAGCATTAACTTCCCCCAGACATGAAATATTCCCACTCCTTGGAAGCTTGACTGTACAAGAGGAATTTTTCTAACTCTCTGTGAACTGCTTCTGTAAGAGAAGAATGAGAAGGTGTTTCTTATGCAACAGTGTTGCACATCTGGATGCAATTGCTGCTGGTACCTTTTCTTTTCCCAGTCCTTCCCAGCTTTACCTCCCAGAAAGGGGCACTCAGGGTTTCTATGATTTTACCATAGAATGATAAAATCAAACACTGGATAATAAAAATAAGTCAGAAGGTAGAAACAAAGGAATGCAAATGGCCACTGATGATGATACAAAGCTAAAATTTCTAACTCGCACGTCTTGGTATAGAGATGACGCAATGTGAAAAAACCAACACTGCCTGAAGTGAATGCCTGCATTTACCAGAGCCCAGCCAGTCTGCACAGCAGCTAGAAATGAGCCACAAAACAACCGTATGCCGTACATCACCAAGGGGGTCACCAAGATGCCTAGGTCAAGACTAGAAAATCTCAGAGGACAGCTGACCCGCAGTGGAAACGGAGATCCCTCTCCAAAGAGGAAACACAAAAATAGCCCAGGCACTGTCCACCTCGCCAGAGCCATACACACAGCAAACTCGCTGCTGGGTCTCTTCAGACCACTACAGATTGATATTGTATATGTACTAGCAAGTAGCCATGTCAACACTATATCTATACTACCATCCATCTTGGTTGTCCATCTGCAGGACAACCAAGTGATCAGGC